TAAAACTTTGTTTTAAGAAGCAATAAAAAAACGTCCCAAACAAAGTCTTAGTCATGCATTACTTTTAAGACCGCAATCATAGTTTGTTTTACCACTAACTTTTTCTTATTTTTTCGTTGCTATTCATAAATTATATGGTGGGAAATTATTTTTAACAAGCAGAGTTGTTTATGTATGACAACTTTAAAGTAATTGTTCTATTTTTTATATAAAAGAATATATTTATAATATTCAAAGCAGCTTATAAAAGGATTATTTTTCTCATAATAATTTCACATTCATTTTGACAAAATAGTGCAACCATCCCAAACAAATCCTTAATCAATATTATTCAATTGGTTAGATCTTTTATTCGTTTGAAAAATTAAAAATAATGTGAGATGTTAGTCACTTTCTGATTGGGTGGACTATCTAATTAACATAAAAACTGCTTATGTCATAACGCAAGTTGCTCGATTATTTATTTTTGTAGTCAGGTCAGCAATTTTATTCTTAATTCTTTTTGTTTTTTGGTGCAGTATAAGTAAATTGTAGATTGAGAATGGACTATGATGTTAATTTTCAGTTGAGTTGGGTTGAGTCAGCCTTAGATTCAGTTGAGTTGGGTTGATCCAGTCAAGTTTTGAGTTTATTTGAACAAAGTACATTAATGTAATTTGGGCATTAGTATTGATGATAGTGGATGCCGGTGTTGTTGGCATCTACATGCATCAATGTTATTAGAAAGGGTGGACATTGGCCTTATTTATGATAACGAGTATTAGTATTGGTACCAACGATGAGTGTTAGCCTTGATGATGTTGATTAGCTATAACATTGTTGTCAATGGGGCTCAATGTTATTGGCGATAACGGGCTTTAGAAAACATTTTATAAAAATCAGATATTTTGAGGAGAGAGAAAGGGCGGAAAAAGCAAAGGAAGAAGTGAATCCTTTCGCTACACGGATCTTGGGGTTGTTACAGGGAGGGTGATGTAAAGTAAATGCAGCATAAAGTACATGACATCAAGATTTAATGTGAAAAAATTCAAAATAGGGAAAATACACGGAGCCACACCACATTAAGAAATTCATTATGAAAATTGAGATAAATAAGTACAGGTTTCTATTCTCTATCACTCTCTCCTTCTTCTCTTCTCACAAGCACCATTTTCACCCTTGCCCCTAATTGAAAAATATAAGAGAAAGCCAGGTAAAATAACTCCAAGGGAAGCAACCTTTCATAAAGCAAGAAAAGAAAAGCCATCCAGTCCATCTCAAAGCGCTACAGTGCCAGTTTGGGGTGTTGCGGCGCTCAGTCTTTTTTTGACAATGCTGCAGCGCTCAAACACTCAAAAACGTTGCGCTGCTCAATCTTTGTCTTGACCCGCTGCGGCATCATATCTAGGCTGCTGCGGTGCTCTGCTCTCTATCGTTCATAGTTGGGGCGCTCGGGAACAAAACCCAGGGGCGCTCAGGTATGTAACGCTTGGACACTCAGGTACACAACATCTGGCATCGTACCGAAAAAGAAATTTCTTGTGCAAAGCACCCGAACCGAGCAGGGGGTAAACCCCCCGCCCAATGAACATGACAAAGCTTTGAGATTTAAAACAACAAAATAACCAGATTGATCAACATAATCAGATTCCACGCATAACATTTATGGCAATGTTCATCAGTATTACTGGGGATGTCAAGTTTTGGCATTGTTGATGATGAAAACTGTTTCTCCTGATGTCGACAAAAGGTGTTTGCCTTGATGGCAAATAGGGGTGTCAATTTCGGGTCACGGGTCGTGTCACGACCCGACCCGACGGGGACGGATCCCGCCCGAGCCGGACCGCGACAAAACCTTTTTATCCAGGATCTGGCTTTGGAATTTGGTTCCTGAACTGAATCTTCCAAATTACTCAACTCAACAGACACACAAACACAGAGCTACTATGAATCATCAAACACAGTTGACACCCCTAATGGCAAACATGGACATCTACATTATTAGTGATGAAGGGAATCAACATTGTTGATGTTGATAAGTGTCTTCGATAATTTTTTTTTATTAATTTTATTCAATGGAAGTAGTAAGAAAAATAGTTCCAAACGAGGCCTTAGACAAGCTAATGACAAAAATAATCACCAAAGTATACTTATCATTAAAAATGCTACAAGATTTATAAGTCTGGAATGCTAATTTTGCCATCAAATATGAGAACATTGATACTTGATTGACGGTTCTATGACACATTTTTATTTTAGTTGAAAGTGAGACACGAGACTAATTACAATAGATAATGTGAGTGCAATGGTATCTATAAATTAATTTTAGATAAAAAGTTAGTAATATATCTAATTTTGAAAGAATGTCACATGTGAGAATCTAAGCTCGCAAATAAAATATGATTTCAAAGGTAGCGCATGCTAGTAGCAATTTAAATAATCTTTTTAATTTTTGTATTTGCAGAACATTTTGAATAACAATGATGGCTCACATACCTGATAATATATTGCTAAAGCATTTAAAACTAAGTGGTTATTTGATTTATTGAAATATGAATGCAAAGTAAATGAAATACAGTGTAAAGTAAATATTGTATATTTAAAATATTTGAGGTTGTTTGGATGAGTGATAAAGTAATGCAAGAAATTACTATTTTTTTATTTGACTAGAATTAAAATGAACGCAATTTAAAGTAAAATAATGGTGGTGGCTAGCCGCTGAAGAATTCGGTTCAGGTTACGAATCCCCCTATCACATGGCAAAAACAGACATGGTCGACGGTTTGTGGGAGGTCGACAGTGGCGGCGGCGGTGGGTGGTGACATTACGATTGACTTGTGTTGAGAAAGGAATTAATTCGGCCAAAACTGATAAGTTTTACAATACATAGAAATTATAAAATAAACTAGAGAGAAGGAAAAAAAAATTCAGTAAAATTTTACACTATATTGATTTTTCATCAAATCAAATACCTAAATTTTCTTTTACACTTAATTCAGTTAGCTTAAATCTCAAGTATAACAACAACAACAACATCAAGCCTTTGTCCCACTACGTGGGGTCGGCTACATGAATCCTTTTTTCTCCATTGTGTTCGATTAAAAGTCAAATTTTCATCTAAATCTAATAAAGAAATATCATTTCTAATATTTTCTAATCAAGTCTTTTTTAGGTCTACATCTACCTTTCTTAACATAAGCCAAATCTAATACAGCAACTTTTCTAACCGGGTCATCGTATCGGAAGGCCTCCATGTAATGTGACCAAACCATCTAAGGCGACTTTCTCTAATCTTATCTTCCATGCCACTATGCTCATTTCGTATCCTATCTCTAAGGGTCAAGCCACTCCTCCACCTAAGCAACCTCATCTCTGCAACACTTAACTTAGCTTTAATCTCAAGTATGAAATAAAAATTTATTTGAAAATCAGGTTCACAATTACAATGTATATGTGAAATATATGGGAAAATTATTAAGTGCGGACACCGAACGTCATCCAAAGACTAATAAAGTTGCGCCACATCATCTCAAAAATGTACCACACTCGGTACCAAACTTGATACCGTATCATGCTCGGTACCAAACGGTTCTCCAGTCACAGAATAATCTGTCCAAATATGCGGGTGAGATTTGGCTGCTCGCCACTATAAATTTACGTAAGCAAGTGCATGCCACTAAGCATTAGATACATTCTAAGAAAGCATGGGTCCCCTTTTGCACTCGTAGAAAAGGTACGTTGAGAGATTTCGTGATGTCAATTGTCGTTGTAGTGCGTCTCTTTTTGTGATATAGGTTATAACAAGAAAAAGTTATAATAATAATAATAATAATAAAGTTTAAGTTGAATATTTACTCATAAATTCACATTAAATTCGATTTATAATTAATTTTATGTTGTTTATATCTATAATTGACCTGTTGTTTTTTATTTGATCTTTTGCAATATTATTTAATTTAAATTGAAAAAATAACTATCATCTTCTATTGAATTAGGGATTTCAAAACGGGTTAATAAGTTGAGATTATGTCTACTACTAAATTGGCCCAATCTAAATTGAATCGGGTTGAATCCAGCAAGTTTTATAAACGAATCTAGAAGGTGGACTCAAATTCAGTCGACTAGTAATCTGGATGACGCGAACTTGACTTGATAACTAGTTTTGATTTAAATGAAATTTTGTTGCTTATCAACTGTAGAGTTTAGGTAAATTGATCAAAAATATGAAGAGCATACTAACAAGCAAAAGAATTAAAAAAATATATAAAATAAAATAAACAAGTCACATTCAACTCAAAATTGTGTTCATGAGTTAAGCCAAATAAGCTCATTTATTAAACAAGTTAGTCTGAATTAGGGGTGTCAATTTTTGACACGACCCGAAAACCCAACATGAAAATTCCGGGCTAGGGTCAACTCGGACCCGAAACAGGTCGGGTTCGGTTCAATAATTCGACCTGTTTCAAAAATCGGGTCGTGTCCGGATTAACCTTTTGACCTGAAAGTGACCCAAAACCCCGTT